ATACATGTGTGTGTGTGTGTGTGTGTGTGTGTGTGTGTGTGTGTGTGTGTGTATGTGTGTGTATGAATTAATGACATATTAATTATTATTTTTAATACGTTATAATATAAACTATATATAATGTAATTTAAATAATCAGTCATTGTTCATCAAATGTACATCGAGGACAATAATTTCTTATTCCTTATTTCTGCTTCCTATTTCTATTGTTGTCTAGTATTGTGCAAAAGCCTTTAATTTTTCATTGTGACTCTCTAAACACAATGGTTCATATTCTTGAAAATTTTGGGCATACCGAAACTCATCAAAGTGAAGGTATTTCACATATTTAAATTATTGATTGTTTGGTCTTTTTTTCCATAGATATAATGTTCGCTGGTATACAGCACCATTATCTATACAGAAATTGATATTATTTTTGTTACAAAGAGGTAACAAAACTTTTAGTCTAAACGTTGGTGGATTATTTGCAGCATCTTTAAAATGCTTCGCCTCGGTAAAAATTTTAAGATATTAGAATACGTGTATAATATATAATTATATAAAATATATAAAGTAAAATATGTTTTATTACAGTTAACAAGTGCATCAATATCTTACTTCACTGTTATATACTCTACACAACAATGACGTAAAAATATATTATCTAATAGTATATCATCATAATTAAATAGGTAAGTATAAATATAAAAACAAATGTTTAATTTTATCATCTTCTTAAAATAATTATTCGATAAAATAAAATACGTCTTTTTTTAAATCTTAATGCTTATAGAATAGAGAAGAAATAATTAGAAATAATAGATAATTTATATGTAGAAACAATTACAATGACGAAGTTAATCGTCAATGCAGTATTTTTTACATATAAGGTATTTTTTAAACATAAAGCATAGAATTTAAACTTATATAAAGCTTATAAAAAGTAAGTGATATGCATCTTATTTTTTTACCTATTAATTTCGTAAATTTTTTAAATTCTCGAACAAAATTTTATTAGAATAACATTAGTCCAAGAAATTAATATAAAACTACAAAATACTTAATATAAATAAATAAAATATATTTAACAATGTGTGATTCAAATGCAACAATAAGTGCTTGAAATTTTTTTAAGTGTCAGAAGATTAGTGTTACGCTAGAATCTATTTCATGTAACTTATTAATGGTGATATTTTCACGGCAGATACACGTAAATACTACAAACTTATCGGCCGGTCTTTTTGTCTCAAGGAATAAACGTATTCAACGAGTGCGCGGACTAAAATGAAATACGTGAAAGTACAGGTAAGGAACAAGATGACTGCGCTTGCGCGAACTTCGATTCAGAAGACATCAGATGCATTTTCTATAAGAAATAAATATCCATTGAATTTTCTTACGTGTCAATCGATCGCTTAATAACTGACCTCTTCCCGAGCAAAAATATCAAATTGCGTATGCCTTATTTGCGATATCACATTGTTGTTTTGCCAGCTATTTCGTTTAGCTATGCGTTTATAAGTATAGTATATAAATTATATTATCAATAATAAAACTTAAAAAAAAATTGTAATATAATTGATTGAAACAAAAGGAAGAGATATGTAAAACTTTTCGAACATTTTAGTCAGATATATCTCGATGCATATCGAGAAATTATTTCTTTAGAGACTCAACATTTTAATCTAAGTCGAATTCTTCTGCTCATGATTGGCTTATGGCCTTACAAACAGTCGAAACTAATTCTATTCCAACAGATCATCCTTTTTAGTGTTTTGTCGAGTTTTGTTGTATTCCAGGTATGCAAATTTTCATACTATTGTAACAAGCTATAAATTTAATTCTATGAAATTTTAATTATTATTATATTATACTTGATTATAAAGAATATAATAAATACTTTTTAATTAATCTTTGACTGATAATATAAATAATTACAAGTAAATTTTTAGAAAAATTTGAAAAACACACAGCTTGACTTCGACATATGTTATACAGAATCCATTCTTGAGTAACATATGTCTGAATATATAAGTAGTAGATTTTCTTTATAGTTTTTGAGATATTTTAAGTATTTGAAGTTTAGTGATTTTTAAATTGTAAAACAAAATTTATAAAAAAGTAATATTTAATAGGAAAAATCTTAACGGCCACACATTGTTTGATGAAATGTTATTAACATAAAATTGACAATTCAAACAAGTATTAAAAACAAAATTTTACTGAATATAAATTCTATATGTAAATTCATATTTTTAAATTGAAATAAAATCTTGAACTGACGATGAATAAAAACTTAATCCAATCCTCTATACTACTCCCTTACAAAAATTTTAATCTACTCTCATTTAAATTATAAAGATTAGAGATTACAGGTCTAAATTACATTAGAATATTTAGAGATAAGATTTGTCAATACTTTGTCATATACTTTGGAAAACAGTGTACAAGACAGAAAACAACAAATAAAAGTATTGAAAAGTGTAGTGATAATGCATTATTAGATAAGAAGAGTGCACTTAATAAAAAGTAGCAAACAAAAATACATAAGTACTATTCTTTTTTTACTATTTATAAATATAATAATAATAAAATAAAACAAATGACATTTGTCATTAAATAATATAAATGACATTTTAGGATGGTTTACAGTTAATCTTAGTTTTATTTATGTATCTTTAACTTAAAATAGACCTGTCCAAATTCAATATTTGAAAGTACTCTTACTCCTACACATAACTATCAGAGCATTAAATATATAGATAAAAATCAACATGTGTGATTATTTGTCTATAGTTAATTGGACGGAACTTCAACATCTATCTATTGTTTTCTCTCCATTTCAATTAATGAGATAAAAAAGGGGCGGAAGTATTTAGCTCACAAATTAGAAAACATGAACAGATTTTATTCAAAATATTTCAAGAACTATAAAAAGGTGTCGTCTGATTTCGTACACGCATTTTTATCAAGAATAAACCTTCCACAACACATATCGAAGTCAAAATCGTTTCAGCTGTGTAAGTTTTTCTATAAGATCTGCCATAATTGACTATTTTAGACATGTAACAGACCTCATAAAATATTTTTTCAAATAGAATTTATTTGATAAATTTTATATTTTAAATTTTATAATTTAATAAATTAATTGTAGTTTACAGTATTTTTGACTGCTGAATGCACATTTGGTTTTACTATCAAAATTCTTTCTTATATCTCAATTTTTGCTTCATTTATAATTAAATACAATTCATTTTGGATTAATAATCATATTGTAAGTAGTATTGTACACGATAAGATATACACTTACTATGACTATCTCTTTTATATACTAATCCTAAAAATAATACTTCAAATAATAAAAAGAGTAAATATTGAATAAAATCATAATAACACGATAGGTGAAAAATTTATGGGATCAACTTCAGTATATTTGTAATGAATTAGAAGATCAAAATGAAATCAATGTCATGAAAAAATATGGCAACGATGCAGAACATTTTACAACAAAATTAATAGGTAAGAAAGCAATTATTGAGTTTCAGTACCATGAAAAATTTAACTAAAATAATGAAATTAAATTGTTGTACATTATGCTAATTTGTACAAGAAAATAAATAAATTTATATATATATATATATGTATATATATATTTTATGAAAATCAATTTTAATTATAAACATTAGAAAAAATTTAATAGCAAAAATTATTATGCTCTATTCGATAATATTCCTAGCAGAATAAAAAATTAATGGTCCAACAAATTTAAAATGTACAGCAAATTGATAATAAAAAAACAATCATTTAAATTTATTTTTTTACATCTTTAGTGATCATGATTGTTAGTGTAACTAGTTTTATTTTTCTAACAATATGGCCATGTATTTTGGATATTGTCAAACCGAAGAATGAATCTCGACCACATCCCACAATGCATATCATGACTGAATATTTTATCGATCAAGAAAGATATTTCTATTTAATTGTATTTCATATGAACGCAGCTCTTTGCATAGGAGCAATTGCAGTGATAGCAACAGGATCGATGCTCATAGGATATTTGAAACATAGTTGCGGAATGTTTAGAATTGCTAGGTAAGAAAATATATATAAAAATAAAAAACGTAAAGCTTGTAAATAAAATTGTATATACCTATACCTATTTTAAATAAATATAGAAAGATTATAATTCTGAAAATGTATTATTTACAGCTACCGAATTGAGAAAGCAATGGCGATTAATAATTTACAAAACATACGTAAGAATTATATTGTAACTTACAAGGGAATAATTTATGCTCAAGAAATACATCGCAAAGCTATGGAGTTGGTATTTATTCAATAATGTTCACACAAAATAATATACATATATAACAACATTTTCTATATTTAAAGATTCTCCAAATTTTTAATATCAAGTTTTGAAGGATCCTTCTTCTTGTTAATAGCTGTTGGCGTTCTTAATTTAAGTCTCAATCTATGTCGAGTAAGTCTTTTTAATATATATCTGTACAAATAATATCATAATATTCGTATTTAATATCAGCATATTCAATAATTCAAATAATTTTTTATAAAAATAATATGAAAACAAATATAAAAATAAATATAAATCTCAGTTCTAGATATGATGTTTTCATTTATTTATTTTTTTGCGTACATAATTATTTGATTATATGTAACCAAATAATTATTGTATC